AGGTGGTTGAATGAATTTAGTTACCTAGCTACTCCTCTGTATTTAGATACACCTCGGGCGAAACCACTGCTTCTCCTGCATTAGAAGAACAAAAACTCAGGTCAATTTTGGTTTGTGAAAAGATTTCTTAAATCTGATTGAAAATCAAGTTCGGGTAAATACCTTCTTAAGGAGGCTAAGTACTCCTCTTTAGTCACAGTTTGCATTATCTCAATTTCCTTCTCATAATCAGATATCTGTTGAGATGTTTGAGTGAGTCAAATAATTTCAAACAAAAGAAGAATTGTGAGTCTGAGATGATGATGATTACTGGAAAATTAATGAAAGTTGATGTGCCCCAGTACTTGATTGCAGCTAAATCATATGCTCTTGCTGCAGATTCTTCCTCATCATATGCTCCTGTTCAATTTAAAACACAACATACAAGCCAAAACTCAATCCTCTTGAATGAACCAAATATTGGTCTATAGCACCACTAAGTGCACTACACTTACCAAGATAGACTTGTTTTCCTTTCTTTTTCTGAGTCACATTCCAAGAACCCTTATCCCACAAATGAGCCTCATAACGCCCTGTCCATCGATGCCTAAATACCAAGGCAATTGATTATTAAGTTTCTTAAATGAAGTACTTCTACTAAAGTGTCAACATTTTTAGTTAGTACTACCTGCTAACTCCTCTGAATCTTGAACTTCTTTTAACAGTGGGTGTATGAGCAATATTTTGATCAACTTTAGATGAGTCCATTTTCTGCTGCTCAGCTTGTTGGCCAATGTTATCATTCACTACTCCAACTGCAGGAGGTGACCTTCTTCGTCTTTTCACGCGTTTTGTTGTCTCTGGAATGCCATAATCCACCATGGACATGCTTCTTTTTCCAGGGCTCGACATCTCAGACTTAACTAAATATGAATCTTTGTTCAAATCCATTGATTCTTTCAATTTCCTGCTAAATATGAACCAACAAAAGCTGTGTCTTTTATCTTTGCTTGATGCTTAAGTTGCCACACACAAATGGATGTATATATAACGTATCGAGTCTTTTTGTCATTTTGCTTTGTGTTAGTTTTATACTGTCAACAACCTAATAATTCGATTTAAGACAAAAATAAACGATGATTTCATGTCATCTCGAGTGTCCTTTAGCCAAATTAATGCTCCTCTATATTAATTATAGATTTCACATGACTTAATTCTTGACTTCAAACGAATACAAGAAAAAAAAACAAAAATATTTGTTGGATGTTTTCAAGGTTTTATGTAACACTTCCAGCTTAGCTACTTAATTTTTCCCCAACAATAACTACTAGAAACAAACGTGAACGAGTGAAAAATGTGCTATAGAACATGATTTTTCCATTCATTTCTCATTCAATCAGCTTACTGAGAAACGGTGAAATAGTGAAGAACTTTCTAATTTTTTCATACAAAGATTCAATTAAAATATGTGTGGAAATAGTACTACACGTTTTCTTGTGGAAAAAGGTGGATTTTTTTTTGTACTGTATTCTTTATTTATAATCATAATATTTACATGACGTTTCAAATTGATTTATTTAGATCTCAAATTAGCAGTTAAAATGAAATTTTAGTTATGTGCCATCGACCCTCTTTGTAACGACGTCCTTTCTTTACGTCCTTTTTCGTTATTATAGTGAAATGCTAAAGACTTGATCAGTATACTATATCAATCCTTTAGATCTTAATCATGAGCCTTTACACGTGTGCCAATAATTAACATGTCTGATGTCTGGTTCCAATGTTCAATAATTCTCATTTAGAACAAATTAAGGATCTCATATTTGCAGACAAAATAGTAAAATAAAAATACAAAAGAAGTCAAAATAGATCACCTGCCCTTTGTCTTTTAGATATCGAAATCCTTTAAAACGCATTCTACCTATAGCTGGTCTTTTATTTTCTTTGAAAATCCAAGCTACAAATTTGTCTTCTTAAACTTGAGACAAATGATAACATTTGTTGTTTAGCATTTGTAGTTTGGTTGTTTCTTTGGATTCTTCGTCATTTGTGATGGCTATTTATTATGTTTTGTCAGGTTAACGCAAATTCTTTTGTCCTTGTGCTGTCAGGTTGTCTAGTGGAAAGTTGATAATCGTTACTAACTATGGAACGAATCTCGTAATATTCTCTCACAAGTACATTGATACCATGGCGTAGTCACATAGGACGAAGGGTGATGATTGTGAAATCGTATTTGGCTTGTTGGCTCTTTTTCATCCTTCTTAACTGGGCGAGTGTGTGTTCAAATGCTGATTGTAGGAGTTTGTTGGTCTTTTTATGCACTTAATAAACCTGAGATGATACAGATAAACATCATCTTTGCCTTGCTCCACTTCTCGACTCACTAGATTCATATCAAAAATGTATTTCTGCATTTGCAATATGTTAAAGAGGAATATCAGAGGTTCATATTAGGGGTTAAACATGAAAGTTCGATGATGAAAACACGAATCATGGGTTTTGAGGCACAAAAGATGAGAGTCTGTCACCTTAACTATCACTAATTAACTGTTCAGGCATAAAAGATGAAACATATTTAATGTAAAAATTTTGTCATTTAGAAAATAAAATAAGAAAAAATAGTTCAATCATTCAAACTGGAAAACTATGATTGATCATAACAACAATAGAAGGGTCTCCAACACTATAAAACAAAGAAACAGTATCTCAATACATTTCAGGTGCAGAGGCTTTAGTGCCAACACCCTAAATCTAGAACCGAGAATCTGTCATAAACAGAATTTCTACAATCATGTTATTCCTCTATAAGTTTCTTCTTACAAGTTGCAACTTTCATTTTCATAACTCATAACTTGCACTGATGGTGAAAGTCATTTCAACAACAGAAAGAAGAATTAATTTTTTTTTCTTGACAGTAAATTACTTCATGTTGGATTATTTCTTATGAAACTACATCCTCTAGCTTTCCTTACATTTTGATGGAGCATCAATTGCCTCACCCTCTCGGCATCCTCCCATTTATCACCAAGGACATACAAGTCTGAGATAAGGGTATAAACCCCTCCATCATTCTCTGGCCTCACCACATTCATGACCCTCTCAATCACTCTTTCTGCCATCTCAAACTGTTTATGCAACTTGCAAGAGGACAAAAAAGAACCCCAAATAACTACGTTAGGCTCTCGTGGCATTGTATTGATCACTTCATATGCTTCCCTTAACAATCCAGCCTTCCCAAATAAATCAACCATGCAGCCATAATGCTGAATTGTTGGTCTCAGTCCACACTCTTTGATCATTTTGAAGTATCCCCGACCTTCATCGACCAGACCTGTTTGTACACAAGCACTAAGTACCCCAGTGAAAGTAAACTCATTTGGTACAACACCCCCTTGTCTCATTTTCTTGAATATCTCCAACGCTTCAGTTCCGAAACCATGTTTTGCTGCTCCACAAATTAAAGCAGTCCAAGTTACCACATTTCTATCTTTCATCATATCGAAAACCAGAGAAGCAAAATTCAAGAATCCACATTTAGCATACATGTCTACTAAACAAGTACCAAGCTCCACATTCAATTCCCAGTTATTCTTTACCGCAAAACCATGGACTGATTTCCCAAGAAGCAACCCAATTGAACCCATCTCTGAACACCCCGCCAATATCGGCCCAATAGTCACTTGATCAGGTTTTAGCTGCTCAAAAATCACCATTTCCCGGAAGAGCGCCACCCCTTCCTCCCAATGCCCAGTATTCATGTACCCAGCAATCATCGCCGACCACGAAGCTAGGTCTCTCATAGGCATTTCATCAAACATCTCCCTTGCTTTTTTAACATCCCCAGATCGAGAAAAACAAGTAATCATCGTGTTCCACGTGACAGTATTTCTCACAGGAATTTCATCGAACAGCTTGCAAGCATACTGAAACGAAGTCCCTATGTAGGCATTCAACAGAGATGTGGCAACATAAACGTGGATATTAAAGCCTAATTTGAGAAGATGGGCATGCAGATGACATATCAGGGAAAGGTTACCCAAATAGGTACAAGATTTAAGAGTGAAAAGAACGGCGAAACTGTCGAAAGGAATAGCTTGGCGCTGCATCTGGGCATAGAGTGTCAAGGCTCGTTGAGGTGATTTTGCACTTTTAATAGCAAAAGACCATGAATTGAAGGTTCTTAGTAATATCCATGACGATTTACTATTAACTGCAGCTTGTCTCAGTACGCGGTAGAGATTCGTAACCATAGCTTTGATCTTTCTTCCATCTAAGCCTATGGCGCCTCAATGGTAGGCAACAACATCACTAGCATATTTATTTTTGGTTAATCAAAGAATTTGTGGATGCAACTTTGATACGTTATTACTTGCGTGAACATTTATGTATTCCAAATATATTTATAGTGGTGGACGTAGGTCAATTGACTGAACTACGTTAAATCTGTCTTTTAATATATTTCTAGTTTATTTTCTTACTCATGACCTTTCGAGAATTGCTTTGCTAGCTTTCGTATTACACGTGTTTATTTCGATACTACCATACTTCATATATTTTACTTCCTCAATTTTAATTTGTTAAGATATTTTTGACTTGTCCTAGAATTTCAAAAAATAGATGATGACTTTTATGAATCTTGTGTTTTAAGCTAAAAATACGCTAAATGTATCAAAATGATAATTTTGTGATTTTTAAAACATGTGAAGCAAAAAGTTAAGGATTTAAAAAATTGTCAAAGTCAAACCAATCAAACATTAAATCAGCAAAAAGTGGCCTAGGACCAAATAAATACACATGTATCAGAGGGGTTGAATCTAACTAAGTCTTAGCTGTCTCATATTTAGTCATCTAATCGATGATGATTGGAGCTATAACAACTAAGCATTAAACGATTTTACGGAAAAAGAAAAAAGAATTAGAGTACTTCTCACTACGATTGGATACATATTTGATTGAAAGAAAACTGCTAGGAAAACACTGTTCTCAATTTACCATAATCTTGAAAAACTGCAATCTTCTTTAATATATAAAACTTGAAAATGTGATAGAAATAAAGAATCAGTGTCATATAGTCATGAGTTGGGGATTTACATTCCTATCCTAAATTATATAACCCCCATAACAGTGGTAACTGCATGAACATCTACACCGCATTTGATTGAATTTACAACAAACAAATTTCCTAGTACAAAATGTACACACACCAAAAAAAAAAACAGTATATGATCTATTAACAAATGAAATCAAAATGCTTCCTATCATATTCTTTATGCAAAAATAAATAAATAAAAGGTTCAGTTTTTCGTTTCATAAACTTCAATTCGTGCTCCTTTCTAGGATTCCAGTTTCAGCAAAGCAATGACTCCATAAACAAGTCATCTCGAGGCTCGTCCTTAGTTCTCGAAAACACATTATTGTCCTGAACTTGGTTTTCATATGAATCCCCTGAATTTGCATATCCTGAGAAACCATAATTATTAGGCTTCTGCAACATCTCTAGTGTAAAGGGTGCTCCCATTTCAGACTGTTGTGGCCTTATACTTTGTAATGGAACTTGATAGTTGGATTGATGAGATGTCACAGTAGGCCTTATGGTCGGTGCCATAGGTCGGTTAATTGAGTGGTTGCCACTGCCCCTTGCTGCTGGAACATCATGGTTGTGCTTCCCTTCATAGGTTGTTATCACTGACCTTATGTCTTGTGATGCCCTTTCCACATGTTTTCTTACTGGACATCCCGTACTTGTGCATTTGTAGTAGCTCCTGTTACATAGTACCCAATCAAGAAATTAGATTCATTTTTTGTTTCAAAATTAAGGAACTTCCAAACTTGTTATCGAGCCAAATTTATGGATCAAAGATGAGGTTATTTACCTGGGATTAGGATTTCCTTTCACTACTTTTTGACCATACTTCCTCCATCTATAACCATCATCTAGGATATCGATGTCACTCGTAGTTTGAACTACAACTCTAGGTTCTCTAACTGTCCTACTCCCTCCTAGTGCAGATACACCTTCACTTTCGTTTTCTCTTTTCCTGAAAACAAGAAATCAACAAAGTTAAAAATGTTAACATTAGCTAAAAAATGGATCCAAGATTACTATAATATAGACCTCTCTATAACAACATTTTACTATAACAATGATGTTTCATTTCATGTGGAAGAGATCATTCACGTTATATTATATGTTCTTTATAACAAACATTTTACTATAGCAATAAAAAATATTGGAACTGTTGAAGGAAGCCCGAAGGAACATGTCAAAGGAACAGGTTCACTGCAAGGGTTAGAGTAGTCTAGTCCTAGTAGTACTGTTAACTCTAACTCGTCAGCCAACTTCAATGGACCTGTTTCTTTGACATGTTCCATTAGGCTTCAGGCTTCCTTCAACAGTACAAATGATAACAATGATGTTATAGAAAGAATTGACTATACATAATATATTATTGTTTCACTTACCATCTTTTTGAGTCTGGTTCCTCTTCATCAAGATCATCTCCTCTTGACCTACTACTCTTTTGAGAAGTGTGTTCATGATCATCATCCCCAAATGAAATCGAAGAATTCTCAGGTGTTGCAACGGAATCCATTTGTCCATTTGAACCATAGGATTGATGATCTGGAATTTCATTAGTTTGTGTATTGTAAGATTGGAATGCAGATGAAGCTGTGGATGATGACGATCTTCTGGTAGACTGAGGCTTTGGATGGTTGTGATTACCCTTGTACACAATTTCAGTAATTTGACCATCTAAAGATCTCTCAACCTTCTTCTTGGTGGGACAATTTGGGTATGTACACTTGTAGTAGCTTCTCGGATTTTCACTACCTTTTACTTGTTTCTGCCCGTATTTCCTCCAATTGTATCCGTCATCTGACCTTTTCTGCTCCCTTATACTCTGATTGTATTGGTTTCCACTATTGTTCTGATCATTATTATTCTGCATAAAATTCTGTACAGTGTTGAATTCGGATCTTCCATTAGCATTTTGATCATTCTGTTTTGTGGGCTCTTGACAATTCCATGCTTGCTGCCCCTGATCAATTTTACACAAGAAGAAAATAGAGAGTCAGTCAATTAACTTAAAACACTTCACAAATCAAGTTAGAATTCAAATACAGAAACACAAAACATACTTTCCCCGTCTCAAATTATCTGTAGTTTTGCCTAAATATATCCGTCTCAAATGATTGTGTGCAATTACTTCTTGAAGTTGCCAATTTACTCTATTCCTAATTGCCAATTAAGATTTTCTACTCATTTTCGTTGACAAGATGACTTCAACAATTACATAAACACATAAAATTGAGTAAACAGAGATTATAGCTTGAATATAAACAAGGTTTAGTAGTTTTCAACCCTCATGTAAAGCGAAAAAAAACAAAAAACGATAGATAATTTGAGACGAGGGAGTACCAGAGGGACATGGTTAGTTTGAGATTGAGAGATTGATGATGCAGCTGTCCCTACTTGAGGCTGGAAAGAAAAATCTGAGTAGTTTTTGTCTTCCTGTTTCACATCCTGATGACTACTGCTCTTCCAATTAAAAGCACGAGATGGAAAACTCCCAGTCGTCGGAGATGGAAGAAGCTGCAATTACAATTTCAAAAGAAAAAAATCAATAATCTTGAATCCAATGAGAAGAGAGTTTTAAAATAGACCAGAGAGAGAGAGAGAGGGGTTTACTACATACGTTTGAAGAAGACAAAAGAACAGGGGAGTCTAAAAGTTCAGTTGGACTTAAACCAGGAGGAATAGCAAAGTAAGAGGAAGGCGAAAAAGGAGGAGGCGATAATGGAAGTGAAGGAGGTGGAAGAGATTTGAATTTAGGAACTCCAGAACCAGTCCTCTCTGCAATTCTATCAGCAAGTCCTTTGGTTGGATAATCATCAGAAGCAAGAAGGTCGGTGAAAGAAGTCGTCATGAATGAAGAAGATGAAGTGGGAAAAGAGAAACTTGAAGCAGCCATTAAAAGAAAGAAGATACAAGAGTGCAATGGGAATTCGATTATATAACCTTTCGTTTGGAGTGGGTGGGATATTAAAAACAAAAATGAACACGTATTCTACAATCCACTAGCTTTTTTTTTTTCATTTCTCACTCGATAATATTAAAATTTGATTAAATTTAATAATTTATTTGATAATTGACATTTTTAATAAAATTTCCTTTCTGTCAAATATAAATTCTAAAGTTTTTAATTAAAAAATAAAACAGTGTCATCCAAGCTCATTGTCTTTTTTATTTTTCTATTCTATAGATATTTAAAGAAACTTCTAAGATCCTCAAAATAGCTTTGACCGTGGAAAATGAAATCTAAAAAATAATACTATTTGTGTGTTGAGTCAAAATTGGTGGCTTTGACTATAATAGATACATTTACACAAATTGTACAAGAAAAGAGAGGCTGCTATTGTAATGCAATTACGCCAAACGCGTTATGTCGCTGTCGTTGTGATGGTGGTACCCCACTGGCCACTATCAGTTGATTAACTAACAATCAATCAATCACGAGGCTCTTTTATCGGGCGAATTGTCAATATCCTTTTTATCTAATCTTTTTCCATTCTTTTCGAACCTTGTTTGGATAGATTTAAAACTAAATATTTATAGCAATAAAAAAATGAATTAACTTTTTTCTTTTTTTAATTTTCTAATGATACAATTCAATTTTGTTTTAAACATTTTAATCATTTATGCTCATTAGTGAGAGTTAAAGGTGGTTGTGTATTATTCTATTTGCATCAAAACAAAGGAGTTTTTATCTTTAACCTAATAAGTAATAAATGATCACAAAAGAAGTTTCTCAGAATATATTATCGATATCAGTCTAGATAGTCGAGATATGTTGCAAGTGCTATTTTACAATGTGTTTTTATTATATGTTTTATGATTAATATACTAGAATTTTAGGATTACGTTACTCTGATTATTAATTAAAGAGAAATTCATTTGTTTAAGTATAAAGTCAATTTAAGCTAAATGTATACAAGTCAAAGAAGCAAGCACATCAAATTTTATTGGACAAATAACAAATGTCATGCTCTCTAATGGATATTTCCCGTTATTTTATTCATTTAATTGTTTATACACTTAAAATGGATAACGATTGGAACAGGAAAAAGTTTCTTTCTAGAGGTGTATATTCTTCTTTCAGCAATTATATATTTAAATGATTGTGGCCAAAATAAAAGATTTGATCAGTTTACTGGCCGCTGTGTTTAACCAATGCAGCAGGTTTTCGCTTTCTTTTTTGTTTTTTTTTTATTTTTTAATGATAAAAAACTGAATCTCAGTGGATCGTGAAATTTTTCGCTCGAAGCCTGGCGGACATTGAAATCTGTGCCATCTTCGGCGTCCGTATTCGTAGCCACCTTCAACTCAAGCTTGTAGATGCCATCAAAGAAGCTGGAAATTAAATATCATGGTACGTAATTAATGAAAAGTTTAATAATGTAATCTTAATTTCTTTTACTTACTTGAAGTAATTATTTTGAGCCATTTGGATAACTTTTGATTATTATTATTATTATTATTGTTAAAAGAAAAACTATTTCCAAAGAAGAATTTTTGACTTCCATTTTATCTGAGAAATCACATATTGTATTCTCAATTAATTAAATGGCACATCTAATCAATATATCAATTTAGATCGGGTTTTTTTTTCGAAAGATAAACAATAGAGCTAATTGAGTATGTGCAGAACAAGTTGGATTGTATCACTATAATAGTGCTTCATGTAATGCACTCTATTAAGAGGTTAAGTACACTACATGAAGCACATTATGTGCAACTCTAATAAGCATCATATATCCCAGCTCGCGTTGTACTGCAGATCTGCTCTTGAAATCATACTTTTCTGTAGAATTTATTCGAAGTAGCCAATATGGAAGAAGATATGTGGTTCAATGTCCCTTCAACACAAACCAATTCACATTCAAGATCGGCAATATTCTTAAATTCACGATGCACTAGTCAGATATGAAGAAAGTAAAGAATGAAACTTGTGGAAGGGTACTGAGTACAGAAGATACATCTATAAAAAAAAAAATTGATTTGTAAAAAAGTACATGTGGGCTTGATCCCACTTTAGAATTAGTTTTGGGCTACTTAGACAGCATGTGACGAAAATAATCTCATGTTCAGCCCCTTATTAGTTTAACTAGTGTCTGATGTCTCAAGCAATTTTTTATAAATTTATTAGAACGATTAAAATTCTATGACAATATATATGTGATGAGTAGTAAAACTCAAGTATTTTTCATTGAGTCAAGCTAAACCTGAATCAAATTGAAAAGTCACTTTATTTTCGTAAAGTTATATATATATATATATATATATATATATATATATATATATATATATATTACGCCCTCCGTCCTATTATATATGTTATCCTATTCTATGAATAGCTGGACCACAATACTTATTTTATAAAATTTATGCACAAATTACCATATTTCTCCTATTATACCCTTGATAGTATAGCTAATTAATCTTGTCATTTATTAATAAAAATGACTTAAAAAATATTAAATAAGGGAAGAATGGCAGCTCGTCGATCAGACGACGCTCGTCGCTGCCATTTGTAGTTTCGACCTGCAATCTGTCTGCTAAATGCTGCCAAGTGAGGGGTGAATTAGGAGTCTAGGAAATAGAGTCTAGTCGGTTATTTAGTCTATTTTGGGTATATTAAGTTGGTTAAAAAGATCAAAACTCCATTTCCAAGTCATCCTTCAAAATTAGACTTTCCAACTGTCTTTAGAAACCTCCATTGGAGATCAAGCTCAAGAACAACCTGGGGGATGGATTTTTATGCTTTCTTCTTCAAGTTTTCATGGTATTCTCATGTAGTAAGGTATGGTAATCCTTGATCTTTAGTTAATCTTCCATCTAAGGAGTTCCTTCAAAGATTTCAAAGACAATTCATGATTCAACTTCCTATCTTTCAATCTAGTCATGGGTTCATTGTCAAATTGATTTCAAAAGCATCCTAATGATGAAATTATAATTAGCTACTGTTTTTATGATGAATTTCGATTCAATTTCATGAAGAACTCATGATCCTCCTAAATTCTCAAATTGACCTATAATGTGAGTCTTGTTATATCTTGATTCTATGTTGATTGAATTATGATTCGATCATGTTGAATTGCCTATTACTATTGTTATCTATGTGAATTGGTTATGAAGTTGAGAATTGATCAATGATGATCAAAGTTTATAGAATTGGTAAGTTGACCCTAATTCCTAGCCTATGATAGTTAAATTGACATTGTGTTGTATGGTCCACTTTTGGTGGTGATGTTTACTCTCTTGCCATTCTTATGATGTGATCATGGCCTTGAAGGCAAATTGATGTTTTGTGAAGTGTGGTTATGATGATAACACATGTGTAGTAATATGTCTAGTCTTCCCTTCTAGTTTATGATCTAGGGTGTATCGTTAATGTTATGAACATGTGATCGATTATGTTAGGGTTAGTTAAGGTCTATATGTGTTTGGTTGTGATGAATGTCATTCTAGAACTACCCCTAGCTATGTACCTCAATATGAATGTGTGGTATTAAGCATGATTAGGAGTCTTAGATTCAAATGATGAAGATGTCTTGTCTCCTATGTTATAGTGTTGGTGTGTGGTCTATAGGTATGACTTGAGGGATATGAATATGTGTTGTACTCCTTGAAGAGTGGGTGTTTCTCTTATGTGATCATGATGACCATGTACACACATCTCTCATGCATGACTACAAGTGTAATATGTTCATGAAAGTATGAGAAAGGTATCTTAACTAGGATGACTTGATGGGTGTACCAGTATAGGTAAGGATATAAGACTTTACCTATACATTGCACATGTGTACCTTGAAAAGATAGTTCCTAGGGTGATCTCTTTATGTATATAAATATGAATGTATGATTAAGCTATGGACATGATAATTATGAGATGATGATAAATGCATAATTGTGAGGGATTAGAAGTGATCTCTTATGCATCTTAATGTTATGTTATGAAGTAAAGTATATGAATTATGAAGTATGATCATGTAGTGTCTAAATGTGTTTATGTGGAAGGTTTCCTCATATATGTACACATATACACATGAACATTGCACATGTGTACCTTGAAAGGATAATTCCTAGGGTGATCTCTTTATGTATATAAATATGAATATATGATTAAGCTATGAACATGATAATTATGAGATGATGAAAAATGCATGATTATGAGGGATTAGAAGTGATCTCTTTTGCATCTTAGTGTTATGTTATGAAGTAAAGTATATGAATGATGAAGTATGATCATGTGGTGTCTAAATGTATTTACGTGAAATGTTTCCTCACATATGTACATATAGACATACATGAACGAATGAAACATGTTATAATAATCTAGTAAAGTAGGGTCTTTTGAAAGGTATTGCTCAATTTTACTCTAAACTAGACTATGTTATGTCCATATGAAAGGATATTCTCACATGATTTAGGTGTTGATGAAAGGACATTCTCATCATTAATATATGAGTTATGCATATGAGGGGTTGATTTCCTAAAGCCTATTTTTATAATGTAATGTTAATAAAGACTTTTCAAAAAGGGAACTTAGCTTAGCACCGAGTGAACTTGACATTGATAGATGACCATTCCCAAAAAGGAAGGTATGTTCACCAATGTCCTTATGAGATGGAAACATCCACATTAGCAAGTCAAGGTTTCTAGTAACAATCTCCTATTTTCTTAACTATGTTTCCCTTATAGGACCTAGAAAGTGGATCCACCTAGATACTAGCATGATGTTAATGTTCTACTTTGGCAAGTAAAGAACCTCTTTTTGGTGTGGGGTTCCATGACACCAGATTTAATGTTTAGCTCACATGGTCTAATGTCGCTTGAGCCTAAGGTTTCCCTAAAGTAAAATGAACAATAGAAGTAAGATGATGAACCCTAAATCGAATCACCTTAGGGAAGTTGCTTAGTGTAGGTGAGGGTATGGTTCTTTACCTATGCATTGCACAAGTAGCTCTTGGAGGAGTTCTAGGAGGAAGTTTTATATGTATATGTATATGTATATGCCTATTATGCATGAAATTGTTGTATTGTCCTACTTGCATTATGATATGTATGATATTGGTCTTATTGATTATATGATGAATGTCTTACTTGATATGCATGTAGTTGGCTAAATTTGTCATGTTGATGTATGAAGTATGTGATAGTGCTTGTGGTCTCTTTGTGGGGTTACTTAGTATGTGTGAGGTTATGAGGTTTCACATTTACATTGCACTAGTAGGCTTAGATTGAGATTATGAGTAAGGTCTTAGGATGTGTATTAATGAAATAAAGTTCAAGTATGCATTTGATGTCTATTGTCTCAATATGACATTATTGGTAGTGTCGACTTGTATGTTGTCTTGAAATGAGTATAAAGACTAAATGGGTTATGATAGGAAGAAATAAGTAAATAAGTCTTATATGATGATATTTGAAGTATGTTGGTTCATATGTGAAGTATCTGTTCTACGATATGTTATGTTTCCATGAATGTATATGTTTGACTTAATGAAGATTAAATGAATGTTCACCTTGTTGACCTTAAGGTGATGCTTGCGTGTGGATGGTGGAATGAGACACTATTCATGCATTGCACCAAGTATTACTTAAGGGTTACTTTGGGGTAAGAGAGTTAAGGTAAAAGAAAGTTAATGTTATGAAAATGATTAATGTGCCTTAAATGTGGTATGAGACTTTATATTATGTTATTGGTATAGTACATGTGTATGTGGAGTATGGAGAGCTATATTATGTTATTGTGCCAATGTTTATGAAGTTTTACTAAAAGGCATGTTGCATAATTTCTAACTAAATGTCCTCTTTAAGTGCACATTTTTGCATGGTTTCCATACTTAGTGCATACTTGTACTAATACCATTTTTCTTCATCTTTTACACAAAGTGTAGGTGGTGATAGCTAGAGGATGTCTCCTACATGAAGAGCTTGGATAGATCTCCCAAGTTCAAAGAAAGGGATCCTTATGATTCAAGGAGAAATAGCTTAGATATTATTTTATGTTGTTAAAGTTCGTGTCCGTATTCTACTCTATTGATGTTGAGTCTAAGATGGCAAAAGAGACTTAGAGTCTATTTATGTACTTATGATATATATATATAATGAAGAGATGTTCTAGCATATGATGTGCTATGAAAAGTTTTAAATTTTCCGTTAAATTTCCTATGACAATGCGATGAATGTTGTCTATGGGCTTATATAAGACCTTCGAGATGTCCAGTACACCATGTTACTTCTAGGGGGTGCTCCCCAGTCAGGATAACATGATTAGAAATATGGACAAATCGAGACCCGAACCGATTATTCAATAAGAAGTTTATACTAAATAGAGACTCGAATTGTTAAAACATAATTTGAACCCAATAGCCAAATTATCAATTTGAATTATCAGTTTCAGTTCAGTTTTGAATAATCTTGTTGTATAGCCACCACTCCCACAACCCTTAGGATCGAGCATAAATATTGAAAAACTAAAACATTAAACCGAATTAAAACTTTTCGATTATTTGGTTCATACTTTTTGTAACTTCAATTTTTTGGTGCGTTTTCGATAACACAATTTCTGTATTATGGTCTTTCGGTTTGATTTAAATTTATGCACATGTATACATACTATGTTAGATATTACTTGATTGTTTATACTATACTAAATAATGTTTAATTAATAATACTTATATTTCCTTTTATGCCCCTTAGTAGTTAGGTTTTAGGTTTTAGGTTTTAGGTTTTAGGTTTTAATTTCAACTATCGGTTGTTTACTCATTCTGCAACAGTCGCCGCACCTTCTCTTCCAAGTTCCAGGCTTCACCACTCTAGAAACTTCCAGCTTCCGTCGGACAGTGTCCTCCGGCCAACATACAGTGTCCAGCAAAGTGTATTTGATTATTTTCGTGATTCCAGCAAACAACGTCCACCATTACTACCGCGATTCCAACAAACAACGTCAATTGTTATTGTCGTGATTGCAATTTCTTCTACTTTAAGGTATTTCATCCTACAGTACGACAAATTTAGAAATTGAAAATTAAAAATGCTGAAATAAGAGAATCAAAATCGAACTAACGAATGCCAACCCTTGTTATAAACTAATCAAATAAAAAAATTAAAATTCACTTATTTTTCCTATTTCAATGTTGAATTTTGGTCTCAATTTTTGTGTTGGGTCTCGATTTGAGTGGCAATGTCGAATCATGGTTGGAAATCAGA